GCGAGACGCAAACACACCTCGCACGACGCCCAGGCCGGGGCCTGCACTCCCCTCCCCGGCACACAGGGCCGCCCCTGAGTGGGGCTGGGGGACTTGAACTGCGACTTCTCCTCCACCATCTTTCCTCCTCTTTGGTTTCCTTTGCTGATGTTTTTCTAAATTGTGTGGGGACTTCGTTCCCGGGAGGCTGGGCCCCCAACCCCTGCTCCCTTCGGCGAGCTCAGCCACGTGCCCAGGTCCTGGGGGGCCCGATAACCCCCCCGAACCCCGAAGCTAGGAGCGCCCCGGCTGGTCCTGCCCCCCGAGCCTCGGGGACACTCACGGGGGATCTTGTTCATCTCGTTGAAGAACTTCTCCTTGAGCTTCGCGAACATGTCTTCCTTGCTCTCGCCGGCTCCCCCGCTCTCGGTGGAGTTGTCCGCAGGCCCGACGGGCATCGTGGCCGTGGTGGTGGCCGGAGCCACCATGGCCTCCTGGTTCCTCTTGAAGATGTTCCTCATGGCGGCGGCGGGGATGGCTGCGGCGAGAGGGAAGGGCCGGGTGACGTCCCAGGGGTCCCTCCGGGCTGCTCCCGGCCTGGGAGGCAGAGCGGGGCTGAGGAGCAGGGGCAGCAGGGGCTCATCCGCAAACTCTCAGCCTCGATACGACCCTTCCCGGTCACCCCCGGCCTTGCCCCTTCCCCCACCGCTGACTCGCCCCGACACACGGCCTGTTTGACTCGCTGTCCCCCCTCCTCTGGGGTCCGAGGGTGCGCGGTGCCCGCCTGTGAGGGGTGGGCGGTCGGAGGCCCAGGCCGTCCGTGGCCCCGCCCACCATGTCTGCGCCCTGGGGAGGCTGTGAAAACCCAAGCGTCACAGTCCCCTCTGGATGAGCCTGTGGGCATTTCCCGCCCATTTGACCCCCCGGAAGCTGAGGAAATGCATCCGAGACGCTGACGGCCTCACGGCCTCACGCCAGCTCCCCGGGCCCCTGCGGGAGAGGCCGGGGGGGGGCGGTGGCCGGGGGCGGGGGCGGCGGGGGGGGCGTGTGGACGCGTCCTGGCGTCCGGCACTGGCTCCTCCGCACAAGCTGCCCACACCCGCCCGGCGCAGGGCGCGGCGTCTGACTCGGGGCTGGGGGCCGCAGCCCTGGGCTGGGGGTCGTGGAGGACTCGACCCCGGTCACGTCCCGAGAGGGCTGGGGACGCCTTGGGGCTGGACTCTGGGGCTGAGCAGGGGCTGGGGGACCCTGCCGGTGGGTCACTGCTCCTCCCCACGAGAACCATGCAGGACTGCGGCCGGCCGGCGGGGGTGGGAGGGAGCAGCTTGCTCCCGCCCCTGCCCCTGCCCCTGCCCCCGCCCCCCAGCCCTGGCAGGCCCCGGGGAGAGACCCACTCGCTCTGACAAGCTGCCCCTCACCGCCAGCCCCCGGACGGGCCCTGGTCTCCGGGAAGTGGAGTGGGCCAGGCAGGCCTGCGGGGACGACTGAGTTCCCTGAAGGAGCCGACCTCCTCCTGGGACCGGGGGCAGGGGCAGGAATCGGGGGGCCGGAGGTCAGCCTCGTCCCCGAGGAGCCACAGGCTGGAGGACGGGGGAGATGTGGGGAAACTCCAAACCGGAAAATCCCAGCGTGGACTTCTCCTCGGGTCCCGCCCAGGAGGCAGCACCCCTGCCCGGGGGGCCCTAGGGCCCCTTGACTGCAGGCGCAGCCGGGCGGGCGGGCGGGGGAGCCGCTGGCCTCCGGCCAGAGGGCCGGCTCTCCGTGGGTCGGCCCTGGCGGCCGCGAGGACTGGGGCGTGTGGCTCCTCCACCCTCGGACCCTCGGGGTGGGAATGAGGCTGGGACCTGCCTCTGGGGCTGTGGTCCCCGGGAGGACTGCAGGTCAAGTGGGACGTTAGGCACGTGTCCCATCCCAGGGGTCGGGCCGGGCCACGGGGCGCTCCGGGGAGGGGGTCCTGCTGCTGGGGCGCGCTTGCAGCACCCGTCCCCTCGATGACGAGACCGAGGCCCCGAGAACATCACCCACAGGGCCCGCCCGGCCGGCAGGCAGAAGGAGGGGACAGGGGCGGCCCCTGTCCTGGAGGGTCTCCAGCCCACCCGGGTCGGTCACTCCTCTGAGCCCATCATCCCCCTCTGATCAGGGTGGCGCTCGGGCCGTGGGACAGAACAGCCTTTGCTCGAATGGTCCCCTCGCTGCCTGCCAGCTAGGGGACCCTGGGAGGCCCCGCCCCACCCTGTCCTGAGCTCGTTTCCTGCCCCATGAAATCGACACTCAACGGCCCTGCCCTGTGGGGCGACCGTGCGTCCCCTGGGCGACAGGCTCCCACAGCGCCTGCAGGTTCTGGGAGCAGCGGAGGCCGCGGCGCAGCCTGCAGGGCAGGAGACTCCGCCTGGCTGTGTGGGTGGGGCGGTGGGTGGGGCGCCGCCGCTCAGACTCCGAGCCAGGTTCAGGACCAGCGCCCACACAGGACGCGGGCCAGGCCCGGGGCCCCCGTGGCTCCACTGGGGCATCACTCTGGCTGTGGGGTGTCCAGGCCCTGTCAGCCCCCTGATGGATTTGGGAGCCACGGGACCAGGTGTAGCCTCGGGTGGCAGGCCTGACCTCCAGGAAAGAAGGTCACCGCGGCCCCTTCAGGGGCAGGTGGTGAGATAGCTCTTTCTGTCCCCCGAGGGGCAGCGGGTGGGACGGACCCCCGGCCCCTGCGTCCCACCCGGAGGGGCTCGCCAGAGCCGCGGCCCCACGGCAGGAAGTCCTGCCTCTGACCTCACCCAGGCCTCCCTGCCGCAGGGCTCCGGACCCTCCAGGTGAGCGAGGGGGGGTGGGCCGTGGCACCACCGTGCAGCCGGACACGCAGCCGGACGGAAGCCAGAGAAGAGCCGGCAGCTGCTGGGGCCGGAACTTCACTCCCACGGGGGAGGAGCTGTGGGCTGCGGCCCCCGAGCCCGGCCCCCACGCCCCGACCCCGCCCAGCCTCAGGACCAGGACACAGGAGTGCAGAAGACCAGCAGGGAGACAGCCGCACGGAGGCAGGCAGCACCGCTCTGGCCACGCTGACCCGCCCAGGGCCCGGCCGAGAAGGGAGCCAGCGGCCGCCCCCCACCCCCGGCTTCTCCCGAGCCCACCCAGGTCCCATGGGCTTCCTCCAGGGAGCTGGGGGCCGGGCCAGGCCGCTCTGAACCACGAGGGGGCTCACTCACGAGGGGGCAGGCCGGCGAGCAAGTGCGAGGGTGTGTGGCGACGGCCGGACACAAGGGGGCAGCGGACCCGAAGGTCCCTCAGTGTCCAGCACTCCGACCACTCAGCGCAGCAGCCGCCCTCGCCCCAAGTCTGACCACCGCCTGTCCCGTCACGGGGCAGGTGCGGCCTGTCTTCCGCTCCACGCCGCTTGTGCACCGACGGCAGAGGTGGCCCCGGTCTCCTTCCCCCCAGAGACCTCTGCCGTCGGCCGGAGGACGGAGTCCGGCCAGGAAAGGAAGCAGGCTGAGGTGCGGGGGGGCCATCGTGGTCCTGCCCCCTCGCCCAGGCCCACGGGGTTTCCCTCTGTGCCCCTGGCGTCCGGGGACACCAGTGGCGTGAGGAAGGCTCTGGCCAGGGAACTGGGAGCCACCGTGCGCTAGTCCTTTTGTTCGGGGCCTCAGTGGTCCAATCTGAGGAATGGGAATGCTGGGCTCGCTGGCCTCAGCCCTGGGCCCAGGAGGTGCCTGCTGGTCAGTGGCCTTTCCGTCCGGGGCCCCGTCCCTTGGGGGACACTGCTCAGCACACAAGGGGGAGGGTGGGCGGGCCCCTGAGCTCGGGCACCCGAGGGCAGGTGCAGCCCTTCTCCGGGCCGACGTGCTGTGTGGGTCTGGGCCAGGTGCACCCCTTCCTGAGCCTCAGTTTCCCCATATTGAGTGCCGGAGCACTGAGGCCCCTTCCCGTGCCTCCTGCTGTGGCCCCACCCACGCAGCCCAGCCCTCGTCCCCGAGACCTTCTCCAGCCCCTCCCTGCGGCCGCGTTGTCCCCCACCCGGCCTTGTCTGCAGCAGACGCCCTCGGCGCAGCCCCCGGTGCCCGGGCTCCCCCACCCACAGCCCCCGGGACAAGGACCGGCGCGTGCAAACGCCCGCAGCCCGCAGCAGCCCAGGGACAGCGGGACGAGTGCGGGACACGAGCGCGTTCCCGGAGGCCTGTGCACAGTGGCGACCGCAGGACTGTGGGCCCTGTCCCCACCCATCCCCGACGCTGCGCTGCCCTGGAGGGCAGGTCACATTGCTCCCATTTCATGACGAGGTGACTGGGGCTCAGAGAGGTTTAGTAACTTGTCTGGAGTCACGCAGCTAATAAATACGGAGAGAGCCTGGGTCGGTCCGCCTGCAAACCCTTCACTCTTAACCGTGGGCACTGTCACTGAGAACCAGCCCTCGCCTCTCCCAGGCTGTCACAGGACTGTGCCTGACAAACGTCCCCCCCATCACCGCTCCCCCCCGCGCCCCGCATGCAGCGACAGAACCAACAGGGTCACGACGGATTCATCTCAACCAACCTTTTACTTTGCCAGCGAGGACACTGAGGCCCAGGCGCCGCGGCCTGTCCATGGTCACACCGCCTCCCGTCTGCCCCCTACCCAGGGAGCCCTGCCCAGGCTGGCAGCCGGGGGCCTCCGCCTGGGTGCAGGGGTCCGGCCTTGGCCCCCCGGCCCCGGTCAGCTCCTTCCCGGAAGGTGCAGGGACCAAGCAAAAGGCTCTCACTGTCCGAATCCCAGGAGAGACCAGGGAGGCAGAGAGGGGGAGAGAGAAGTGAGCAAAGAGAAGCTGTTTCTTCCTCGTGAGGTTGCTGCTGCAGATGGGACAGATGGACAGATGGACAGAGACAGACAGATGGACAGAGACGGGGAGAAGCGGGGCTGCTGCTCCCACTGGGCCGGGCGGCTCTGAGGCCCGCCGGGGAGGCCGCCCTGCACCCCCAGAAATCCCCGAGTGGCCCACGGCCACGGCCCCACTATCTGTCTGCAGAGGCCCCGGTGGCTGCCACCAGCCCTCACTGTCACCGCCGCCGGGCCACTGGCCGGAGCCCAGAAAAGGGCAGTGACTCACCCGAGGCCTCGGGGCTGATGCCCAGCAGGTCCGGGGCTGGAGGGCAGAAGGGGGTGTCCGCCGGGAATCCCAGGAGGCCACCACCCCACCCCCCAGCCCAGCTCACGCCCTGCTTCTCAGGCCCCAGCCCGGAGCCCCGCGTCCGGAGCAGCCGGGCGGGCAGGCCCTGGGAGGGCAGCCGGTTTGGCCTCTCAGTGCCCAGGAGAGCAGAGGAAAACAGGGGCTTGCCCAAGGTCACCCAAGGGCACCTGCCCTGGAGGCAGAGCCTGGAATCAAACTCAGGCTTCCTGCCTCCATCCAGGGCTCTCCCCACATGCTCCGAGGCGCAGGGGGAAGCTATGGGTTCCGGCCAGCTGGAAAGGCGGCCGCCTTCACTCCGGGAGGGGGTCGGCCCCCCTGGGGGAGGGCTGGGGGCTCACGCTGTGGGGGCCCGCCAGGCGCTGCAGGTCAGATGACCACTTCACGTCACCCTCCTTGGAGGCAGGAGCTGCCTGCCTGGGCCGGGGCCAGACGGCACGACCTTGGGGGTCCTTCACAAGCCCCTTTATCCGGCTGGACTCCTGCCTGCCCCCGCCCCCCCCAGGGAAGGCCGAGCCCCTGCAGGGTGCCGGGGGTCAGGCATCCCCCAGACACAGCAGCAGCAGCTTCCGGGGAACCAGCAGGCGGAGGGGCTCGCGGCCCCGCGGCCTGCTGGGAGGAAGAGGCGCTCCGGGCGCCCCAGAGGCCGGGGCACCGAAGGGCGGCCGCCAGGGAGGCTGCACCCGCCTGGCCCCTCAGCAGGCCCCACGGGCACGGGGCCAGCAGGTGTCAGGGCCGCCACAGGCTCCGGGCCCCGGGGGTCCACGCCCCCGTTTTCCAGATGAAGGTCCGAGGCCCAGAGGGGTCGGCACTTGTCCAAGGTCACAGGCCGGGTGGAATGGGACGTCACGTTTCCCCGTGGAACCTACTGGCGCCCAGCCCCTCACGGCCCCTGGTCCCCAGGGGCCGCCGGACGCTGAGCTTGAGCCGAGGCCGGCCACCGAAGGCCGCAGGTCCCCAAGCGCCCGGGCTCAGAGCGGGAGCCCCGAGGGCCGGTTTGCCAGACCAGCCTGTGCCCACCTCCTCCTGAGCCTCGTCACTGAGCACCTCCACCGACCGGGCTCAGAGCTGTGCAGCAGCTTTTCCAAGGTCACACAGCAAACGGAGTGGGGCATGCGCTGTTAATTACCGCGGCCCTGTGGCCCCTTCCCCATCCCCCACCCTTTTTAGCCAGCATCCTGGGCCCTGATTCCACCAGTCCCCCGGCGGGGGCGCTTGCTGGAGAAGGAGAAAGTTTCTAGGAGACGAAGGGGCGGGAGAGGCCGCCACCTACCTGACCCCCACTGGGCACAGAGGAGGCGGGGTCCAGGCTGGCCAGGATCCCCGTGTACCCTGCTCTGCGCAAGAGGACCCCGAGCTCCGCCCGCGGGCCCTACGGCTCCATGGGCCGGGAGGAGGCCCCAGGCACCCCGCACCCACCTTCCCAAGTTCTCAGCCCCCACGCCCTGGCGCATCCACCTCCGCTTAGCTTGCCCTCCCCCCCTCCCCCGCTTGCTCCCCAAGACCATCCGCGGCTCCAGCGAGGAGAACCAGGTCTGGAGCGGGGGGTTCCCCAAGACCATTTGGGACACCTCCCACGGGGCTGCCCGGGCAGTTCCCTTGCGAGTGGGTTTCCGCAGCCCCGGCCCCACTGTGCGCTCGGTCCTGCACTGGGTTTATCCGGCGGGGAGCGCTGGGCCCAGGAAGTGCGAGTGTCCCACTCCGGCCACCCTGCCTGCATCCCCCACCCCCGCGCCCAGGCCCTGGGGGTGGCCGCAGGTGGCCCGGGGCACGCGGCTTCGCTCGGGACCCAGGGCTGCCCAGGCAGGCGCCCCGCCCGGCTCCTCTTACCGGGGCGTCCGGCCGCACTGCGGCCCGAGCTCGTGGGGAGCGCCGAAGGCGGGACAGCCGGGGCCCCTCCGCCCCTTCGCACCGCCGGGCGCTGCGGCTCCTCCGCCGGCTCGTCGCGCGCGCCGGCTCTGCGGTAGTAACAGCCCGAGCCGCTCCCCCGCCGCCGCCAATTGACATGCTCCTCACATCAGTCCGCACACCGAGCGGCCGGTGCCCCACCAGGGCGATCCCCAGCGGCCAAGCGCGACCCTCACCCCGGCAACCCCCGCGCCTGCGCCTCCCGGGGCGCCCAAGCCCCTCTCCTCCAGGGGCTGCTGCGGGCTTGCAGGCAGGGGACGGGTGTGCGGGGGGACGCGCGTGGGGGAACGGATGCCACTGGGCGCGCCCCCGGAGAAGTTTGGGGTGGCGAGGCAGCTTCGCGTCCCCGGAGTCCGTGGGACAACACGGAGAAATCCCCGCCCACTCCGTGCGCTCCTGCGCGCCCCCACAGCCCCCGCCGCCCACCGGCTTCGGGAGCCTCCCGGGCAGGGCGGGGATTGGCTGCGGGCGGGGCGGGCGGGGCGGCAGCCGATCTGCTCCGGGGGGCGCGGAGGAAGGTTCCCTGAGCCGGGGAAGAGAGGAGAGGGAGGGAGCGGCAGGGTGATGCAGACAAAGGGCAGGATCCGGAGCGGCCGGGGAGGCGCGGTGCCTTCTGCCCCCAGAACCCCGGCCGCCGCTGGCCTCCCGGGGAGCGGAGACAGCGGGGCGCAGGACCCGGCCTGGCCCCCGGGTCGGAGCCCACCACGGGGCTCGGCCGCAGGCACCCGGCAGCCCTGGGGGCATCTCCGCCCTCTGCAGGCTGGAGGGGCAGGGGCAGGGGCGCTGGGAGCCTGGGCACCCCTCCTCCGCCTCCGTCCCCAGAACCCCCGCGGAGACCTCGGGACCCCAGCTCAGAGTTCCCGCGGCCAACTGGCCCGTCCCCCTCGTCCCGCCCCCCTGGGCTTCGCCGCGCGCAGCCCCTTCCTCTCTGCGCCCTCGGATCCCCGGGATTTCCCGCTCACTCAGCGGATCCAGTCTTCTCCGCCTCCCCCGCGCCCCGCCCCCCCGCGCTCCCGCGGCCACTGCAGCGCTGCGGCAACGCGCCCCATGCCGGGCTGCAGCCTGTCTCCGACCCGCGGGCCGCGGCGGCTCGCTCGTCACCGTGCCCGGCCGGGGCGCGGAAAAAGCTGACTCGGCATTTCCGGGCTCCAGCAAGTCAGGCGGCGCGCGCGCCGCGCGCAGGGGCTGCGCGTTGGCATCCGCGCTGGGGGCAGGACTGACGCCTGAGAGCCCCCCGCCCCCTGCCACTCTTCGGAGGGAAAAGGGACCTGAGGGCCCAGAGCTCAAGGTCAGAGGCTGGCAGGAGGGCACAGGGATTCCCCGACTCCTCCGCGCCGAGGCTGGGCTCCCTCTCCGAGGCGGGGAGAGACAGGCTGCGTCTGCCCGGAGGAGGGAAGAAAGGGCGGAAAGTTCAGGGGGTTCGGGTTGGACCTTGGGATTTCCTGACGCCGAGGGTCCTGGGGCACGGCGGGCTGCAGGAAAGCCTCTGCCCAGTGACTGCTGCCTGGGCTGCCTGGACGCAGGGCGCGGACCGAACCGCCCCGCAGCCCCTGCTCCTAGAGGAGACCCAAAGTCCCCCGGACCCTGCCTCCCCTAAAGCCAGCCGCAGTGAGGTGGGGTTTGATCGCAGAGAATGAAGCACTGGGGTGGAACTGGGCCCACTCCTTCTAAAAATAGCTGTGTTTGACAGAGAAGCTTCACGTGTGTGCGCTGGGGGGTCCTGGGGGGCAGGGGACGGGTGCACAGGCAGGCTGCTGGGCGAGACCGGGGGCACGAGCGTTGTGGTCCCTGGGGAAGAAGCGGCTGAGGTTGCTCAGAGCCTCCGAGGCCCTGAGGGACCCCCCACATGCGGGGGCAACAGCAGCTCACAGCCTCGTCGCCCACGGTCCTTTCCAACAGCCCCAGGCAGCCCCAAGGCAGGGAGGGGATGACCTGCCCCTCCCTGGTGCCACGCCAAGTCCCAGGAGGCTGGGGCTGAAGATGAGAGTGCCCTCACAGGTGGAGGTGACCAGGTCGGACCCAAGACTGCTGGACTCTGATGCTGGTCCGTTCTTTCCACTCAGAAGACCCCCACCTGTCACTACTTGTCACCTGGAGTCCCAGAAGCTACAAAAGGCCCCCCCACACCTCTCTCGTTTTCCTGAAGTGTCTGCGTGTCCGTTTCTATGTGGACATTGCTGCACCCCTTTTACAGAGTTGCAAAGTTGAGGTGCATTTTCCACTCAGCCACACGAGCTGACGGGGGAGTCTGCCCTGGCGTCCGCAGGCGGCCACCCGTTTCCAGGGGGGGCAGAGGTGGGTTGCTGGGGGAGCCAGGCCGTGGCCCTGACCCCCCGCTCCCGGGGTTTCTGTGGGTCACCACACTGACTACTCCGTGCCTCCTCCCCTGGAGGAGGAAGAGGTCCCAGTCGGGGAGGCTGGGGACCTGGGTTCTGGGTGCTCCTGGGGTGTTCAGGCCACTTGGGGAGCAAGGAGAAGAAGTGTCTGTCCTGGGCGAACTGGCTGTGTGGCCTTGGCCCCGAGTTGCTGTCTCTGGGGTGATGTCTCGGAGCCCCAAGATCCTGCGTCCTTGTCAGGGGAGGGAGGTCGCCACTCAGGCCCCAGCGCCCGGGCAGCCGGGGGTCCCTCTCTGCCGCGCACTCCAGCCCCGCACAGGGGCACAGCCTGCCCGCTGCCCAGCCCCAGGAGCGCCCCCCGGGGATGCCGGCAGCTGAGTGTCTGGCTCCAAACGGTCTTCAGGCCCCAGTGCCTTCGCTGCGGCTTAACCGGATAAGCTAATTAACTTAACTAATTGCTCCTGAACGCCGATGTTTCGGTCACGTGACCCAGGCAGGCACATTCTCCCAAGAATGCCGCCATGCTGCTGGCCCCCCTGATAGCCCTGCGCGCCCGTCCTGGTAGTGGGCAGCACCCCCCCCCGTGCAAGCACAGCTTTGGGTCAGGGCCGATGTCCTGCAGTGTCCGTCCCCGTGGCTTCCACGGCCGGGGAGCTCAGGTGCCGGCTCTCCGGCTCTGGGAACGCAGCCGCCAACGCCCCCTGGCTCTGCCGTTCCCGCTCCCGAGGTTTCCATCCACTGCGGCGCCCTGGCCACACTCCGCTGGACAAGACCCAGTGAGTCTGCGTCCTCCAAACAGGACGTCCAGAGAGGGACAGCACACCCCTGAGGAGAGTCAGTCAGCCCAGGTGCCCAGGTCAAGGGCAGGGCCAGCCTGGAGCAGAGCTTGCCCAAACCCATCCACACGGGAGGCGATCGGAAGAGATCCGGCAACAGGGTGACCTCTCTCCCCAGCCAGGCCGCCCTGTGCCCAGTCGCGGGGAGGTGGGGGACGGGGCTCAGCACCTTAGACAGTGGGCGAGGGGTGGGGTGAGTCAAGACCCTGGACAGAGGCAGGGGTCAGGACCAGGGGCAGGGGTGGGAGGTCAGGACCCTGGACATAGGGGTCAGGACCCTGGACGGGGGGCGGTCAGGACCCTGGACAGGAGGTGGGGGCAGGTCCTGGGGCAGAGGTGCTCTGCTTTGGCGGAAGATGGGGCTGCCAGGTGGCCCTGGGGAAAGGCCTGGGGGTGCAGCCGGCCAGCTCTGCGCACTGGAATGTGTTGGTGGGTCACCGTGTTCCTCCCTCTGCCCCCTCAAAAGCGAGCACACCCCAGGCTGGCTTTGGGGTCTTGGCCCCCTACCCGGCCTCCCTCCTGCGCCGGTGGCGGCAGCACCCTGGCCCAGAGCTGAAAGCAGCAGTCTGGCCGAGGCCCTGGGAGGCCCTGGGAGGCCCCTGTCACCCTGACAAGGTCAGGACGCTGTGCTGCAGCCAGTGCTGTGAGGGCCTGGAGGGTGAGGGCGGGGGGCTCCCGGGGGCGCCCCAGGAAGCCCGGGTGTGGCATTGCCGTGGCATCGCTAAGGCAGCCACTGTCCCCCACGGCTGCCCTAAACTGCTGATCCAGACTCGCCAACCCCTCCGCAGGGGGGGTGCTCTGGCCCCACCGTCCCCTCTCGGGGCATGCCCCAGTCCCCCAGAGGCCACCTGCCCTGGCCCCGGGTGACCTTGGGCAAGTCGCTTCTCTGGGCCTCGGGTTCCTTGCCAGTCCAGTGCAGGGACTGGACTGGGCAGTTTCCCAGGGCCCTTCTGGCTCGGAGCCTGTGAGCTGGGAAATGAGGTGGGTGGGTGCAGAAGCTGCCTGGCCTTCTTCTGGAGACAAAGAGGAAAAAACAATGAGGCCTCTCACCCCGGACAGTGCCGGGAAGGGGCTATGCAGGTTTCAGCTCAACGTGCCTTTGGTGGCAGAGGACCAGGGTGCTGTGACGGAGCACCCAGGGCCCAAGAAGCACCTCCCAGCCTGGCCACCGCATTCACTGCCACCACCCCCAACAGTGGCCACCTCCACCTCGGCTGCACCGGTGCCCCAGGCCCCAGCCGGCTGGCGGAGTGGCGGCGACCCACTTCCCTGCCCCTGGCCCCAGGCGCAGCCCCGGGCCGCCCGCTCCTCCTGGGAGGCACTACAGTGCAGTCCTCGGGCTTTCCTTCTTGTTGTTAGCTCTCTTCTTCCCCTGGAAGTCCTCGATCCCGGGGACACCTGCAGTCCCCTTGCCTGGGGGGGGCGTGGTCTGGAGCTGGGCCGTCGCCCTCCTTCTCAGGGGCCAGGCCGCCTTGTCCCCGCCCCTGGGGGAGCGAGGCCAGGACACAGGCTGGCAGAGCCTCCGTGTCCATGGAGCTGGGGCGCCTCTCAGCGACCGGGTCCCCGGGGCCCCTCTGTCTCAGAGGCCCAGACGCCTTGAGACTCGAGAGTCAGCCTCTCCCTCTCTTTCTCTCTCTGAGTGAGGTTTTTCTGGCAGTGGCGGGGGGGAGACCATGCCCCTTTGGCACATCGAGTGCCGCGTCTGCTGAGGGTCTCGAGAAGGCCCCCAGGACAGCCACCTCCTCCTCAGCGAGGGGGTCTCCCACCCCGACCCCAGTTCCACCTCGTGCTCTCCGGTTTCGTCTTCAAAGAGCCTTCCCACCCAGCCCTGCCTCCCAGGTAAAAAGGCAACGTGCTCCGTCCACCAGCTGAGAACGAACCCCGGGGAGGAACCCCGAGGAGGAGACGGCCCCTGCCAGCGGCCCCTCTCAGCTCCCCGGGTCTCCGAGGGCTGCAGGGAGACGGGGTGGGGGGGCGGGGGGGGGCCCTGCGGACAGACAGCGGAGGCGCAGGCAGGAGAGAGCGCGCGGCCGGCCGGGGCAGCAGCGGGCCTGCCTCGGAGAGGAGCGGGCCAGGGCCAGGGCCAGGGGCGGCCGCACGTGCTCTCCCGCCCCGAGCTCTCGCCCTGCGACCTGGAGGGGCCGGGAGGGCGGGCTGCCCCCCGCCGGTGGTGGGTCTCTCTGGGGCCCAGATGGCCTCCGCTCAGGGGCAGCCAGGGCACAGGGGCTGAGCCAATCTGGGTACAGCCCAGGGACAGGTGCCACCAGTCTGCCATCTGCCAAGCAGGTGACAGCCACTGGCAGGTGACTCGGGGGAGGGGCAGGGGGCTCCGGTGCCCAGAGCAGCTGCCTGCAGGACCAGAGACTCCTGGGGCTCCGAGAGCGGGCCTTCCGGCGCTGGGCAGCACGGAGGCTGTTCAGTGAAAACAAGCCAACCCTCCACCCGGGAGGGAGACGCTGCCCGCCCTGTCTGTCTTCCCACCAGAGCTCCCCCCTGAGGCCAGGGCAGGGCTGGCTCCAGGGCCCATAAGGGGACGGGACAGGCCGCCAGGAAAGCCGAGGGCGCCCCAGGAGGCAGGGTGGTGCCCGCCAGCCCGGACTGTGTGTACTGGGGTGAGCTGGCCAACGTCTCAGGGCCTGTCTCCTCGTCTGGGGAGGGTGGCGGCAGCCACGCCTCACAGGGCTGCAGGGAGGCTCGCAGGACACAGTGGACACGGGCCTCCGTCTCGAAGGAAGCTGCCTGCCCCCCCCCCGCCCCCCTGTGCCCCCGTGCCCCCTGCCCCCCGTGCCCCCCCACCCCCCATGCCCCTGTGCCCCCGTGCCAGGGGGCAGAGAGGCAGGATTCCCACCCCAGCGGCCGGACCGCGGCCTCCGTATCCGGCGCGCACCCCACGTCTCCGGGAGCTGCCGGACCCCCAGGCCCCAGGGCTGCGACTCTGCAGACTCTGCTCAGGCGCCCGGAGCGTGTGACACGGGTCCCGCAGGCCACACCACGCTCAGGACAGCAGGGAGGGCCCAAGCCCAGGACACGGGCAGTGTGGCTGCGTCCCACAGCCTCGCCCCTCGCCTGACCCGGCCCTGGACACAGGGCTCCCGGAGCTCCGCACTTTCCCGCCGCGGCCACCCACTCACATGCGCATCCCCGAGCCAGTGCCTCGCCCAGCGGGTGCCAGAGAGCAGCTGCGGAGCCAGACCCCCGGTGCCGCGACCCTGCAGCAGCACAAGCCCCAGGCCTCCTGGGCCACTGGGCACACGTGACTGTTGACTCCCTGACTCACTCACTCACTCAATCACTCACTCACTCACTCACTCAATATGCTAGGTGCCCAGGTTGATGCCTGCAGAGACTCCTTGTCAGAAAAAGGCCAAGGAAGAGATGGCCCTTAGGGACCACATGCCCTTGGGGACCCTCAGGTCCAACCCCCAAGGCAGAGGACAGTGTCAGATGGCTGCTGTCCCCCCCACACACACACAGGCAGCCAGAGGGGACCAGCTGCCGCTCCACAGCCCACGGAGCGGGCGGCTGGGCAGGATGCGGGTCTGGACGGCACGGACGGCCATGTCCTCCTCCCCGGCTCACTCAGCACCTCTGCTGGGAGCAAGGTACGTCTCTCCTCCGACCCAGCCCTGAACCCCCACATAATCCCGTGCTTCGTCTTTACGTGTGAGGACGGGCTGACCCCCGACACGGCGTCAGGCCACCGATAGCCACCCCCGGGGCCGCACTGCCCACTCAGGGCCTGGAGCTGCCTGGCACTGGGGAGGCTCAGCCCGTGGCCTCGATTTTTCAAGCCGAGCCGGCATCCGTCGCCGGCCACCGCGGCCAGTCTCCGCTCCAAGGGGCAGGTGTTCGGAGAGGATGCTCAGCGGGCGCTGGCCCGCTCGCTCCGCCCCGCGGGAGTGCTCTCGGGCTCTCCGGCCGTTGGAGCTCCAGCCAGCCTGGCCCTATCGTGCAGACGGGTGGCTCAGGTCCCGGGTCAGGTCTCGTTTCTCTCGGGGGCCAGAGCCAGTCCGTCCGCTGCACTCGCTCACTCGCCCACTCACTAGTCCACCGGTCGAGCACCGGGAGCACCGGTGCCTGCACACGGGGTGACCGGACGGGCCCCTGGCCTCGTCACACAACACAGCACCGTAAGCGTGCTGGTCCGCATGGGCAGCGAGAGGGCCGGGGTTCCCGTGTGCGAGGGAGAGTGGGACCACGCAAGCACACGCGTGGGAAGGGCAGAGGGGACACGGGAGCGCAGGCCGGGAAGCGGCCAGAGGCGCGGTGTGTGCGAGGCTGGCGGCAGGAGGAGGACAGGACCAGGTCCTCGGGTGGCAGGGCTTCCCTAGGGACCGGGAATCGCGCCTGCGGACCCCGAGCGTCTGGGGGCCTGGCTGGGGGCGGGCTGTGCGTCTGGCTGACCGGCAGCACTCCAGCTGGCGGTGACACTCCGGGCCATGGCCTCCAGGGAGCCTGCTGGTTCCTCCACAGAGGACGAAGCGCGGCCCCCACCTGCTCAGCTGCAGGACACGAGGCCGCTCCCGTCACTGACCAGCAGGGGCGGGGGCGGGGGCGGGGCGGGGGCCGGCGGGCTGCAGAGCGCCTGGCGCCCCACCTTCTCCGGGCGCACGCCGGGACCTCCCGGGGACACGGTGCACAGCGGCGCCCTGCCCCCACGCCATCTGCGGCTCCACTTTCCACAGGTTCAGCGGCCCAGGGCCAACCGCGGCCTGGGAACGTGAACTCCCCGCAACCCCGGGCCGCCCCTGCCGCTCCGCAGCGGTGACGTGTGATGCGGTTCCTGAGCGCGGGGGCGGGGCCAGACTGAGACCCGCCCCCACACTCACGCTTCTGCGAGGGGTGGTCACAGGTGGGACTGCTTTAGAGTTTACAGGGCTAAAGACTCGGGGACACACAGCTAGAGTAGGGGAAGGTCACAGGGACGACCGCCATGCATCCCGCGCCTCCTGGTGCCGGGACTCTGTGTTCCCGGGATCCGTCCCGTCTGTCCCCCAGGGCATTGCGGACACGCGGGTGTCCCTCCCCCGTACCCCAGAGGAGAAACCACTGGGGTGCGGCCCGTGACCCTGCCCCTTGTGAGGGCCCGTGCTCGACGCCCCTCGTGGAGCTCTGGGGGCAGGCGGAGGGACTCAGGGCAAACCCGGAGCCTCGACAGAGAGACCAGGCCGCAGGCAACAGGGCGTGGGAGCGCTGGGCCTGAACTCTGACCCCCACGAGACCAAATTCCCTTCGGCACCCGGCACGGGGGAGCCACGGGCGGAACGCTGGGGGGCACACCGGGGGCTGCAGGCGGCTGGAGCGCTGCAGAACCGCCCGCCCCCTGGCGGCCGTGGCCAGGACCTGCGCCCTTCCCGGAGTCATTTGCTGCGCAGACGGGGAGGGGGAGGGGCGCAGGGGCGCAGGGGCGCGGGCAGGGCATCAAGATTGATGGAGTTCCCGCCACAGCTACTCTCCGCCCTGCGTGGGAGCCGAGACGCAGGCGGCGCGTCTGCTTCTGAACAGCAGGCGCGGGACACGGCGGGGGGCGGGCCCCTCGCACCCGGGGTCTGGCGCAGCTGTCGAGGGCGCAGCCGACAGGGAGGGACGGACGGCCGCGGTCGGCACTCCGCACCGAAGGCCGGCCTTCACTGCCTCCCGCCGCGGCCGACGCCAGCTCTGCCCACGCCGGGCAGCGCCGCGCGCCACAGAGAAGAGCAAAGGGGCGGCGTGCTGGGCGGCCCTGGTGGCCGGAACCGGCCCCGACCGGAACCGGGCCAACAGACGAGCGTTCCCCCTCCCCCCACCCACGCGGACGCTGGGCCGGACCCCGGACCTCCGAGCCCCTGGGGCTGAGCCACAGCGACTTTAAAGACGTGCTTACTGGCACAGCCGCAACAGCACAATGTTTTAAATCTCCGGAAAAGATGCAGACGCAACGCCTGTGGGGTGAAAGCAGCTGATCCCAGGACAGGGGCAGGGGCAGGGCTGCCTCGGTGCTGGGGGTGGAGAGGGCCCGAGGATGTTCCAAACCCCTGGCCTAGGACGCAGCCCCGGGTGGGGAAAGGCCTGGCCGTCTGCGTGCGTCCGCCTCAGGCCCGGACAGGCCCAGGTCGCTCCTGCCCTCGGGCTGCCTGTCACCGGTCACCTGTCACCTGTCACGTGGGGGACGAGCACGGCCTTCCCGGGGGGAGTGACTGCAGGATGTCACTCCCCCCGGGAAGGCCGTGCGGAGCCGCTGCTGTGTCTGGGCCCCCCACACCCACATCCTTGGGGTGGGGGCTCGCACAGGCTCCTCCGGTGGGACACACCACCCAGAAGGGAGAGCTCAGTCGCTGCCACTGCCACCGAGGGGTGACCTCCAGCGCGTGCCCCCGCCCCCAGCTCCCTCCCTGCCCCGGGCCCCCTCCGCCACCGCCCCCCCAGAGATTTGCTCCTTGGTCCCCGCCGCCATCGCCGCAGCCTCCAGCGTGTTTCCCACATCTGTACAAGATCTGTTCGAGGCGGCGAGATCTATTAGCACACTCGCGCTCGGCGGCGGAGAGCGCGACCCCTCACAGAGTTCTGATCCCGTTCGCCGGCAGGAGCCCGGTGAGAAGCAGTGACTGGCAGGCGGCCAGGGCGGCCGGCGAGCGTCCGTGCCCACGTGTGTGGCGTGACGTGCGCACACACTGCCCACGGGGCGTGGGCTTCGGAAGTGACGCGTGTGCCCCGGAACCACACACGTCCGCGTCCGGCGGCTGACGGCAGCGCCTCTGTCCTCGCCGCACTGGGCCACGCCAGCCACGCCCCCGCGCCCTCCCCTCTGGCCACGCTGCTCCCCAAAGCCTGCCCACCTCCTCCCCCATCGCGCCGGCCCCGCGGCTCGCCCGACGGGCCCTGTGTTCTGCCATCGCACAGTCGGGGGGACACACACGCGGTGGCCAACCCCACAACACCGAGCCGTGACCGAGAGGCCTGTGGGAGCCGCACCCAACGGGGGCACAACTGGGGCGCGGCTCACAGAGCCCCCCTGAAGGGCTGCGGCCCCCGGGCCCAGCCCCGAGCTGGGGGACGCCCAGGAAGGGCGCCCCGCCTCAGGGTGACCGGCTCGTCTGCAGACGCCCCGAGGGTTCTGCTCAGGCCTCCGGGCTGGCGCCCCTCCAGCCTCCCACTCCCGGGGCCCCGGCCAGCCGGCGGCCAGGCGACACAGCGGAACACCACCCGGGGAGCAAGCGCAAGCTCCGGGCTCTCGCTGCACAGCCACGATTTCCGACCTCGCTGGGCCCTGGGCGCGCTGTGTCCCCCACCGGTCCGCAAGGGCCGGCTGCCGGGGCTCGGCCTCGGGGCAGACCAGGAAGCCGAGGAACCCACCCCGGTCGCCCCGCCAGCAGTGGCGGAAGCAGGTTGCATGCCAGCCCCCCTCGCTGCCCAGGCCGGCCTCCCAGAGGCCGTGGCCCTGCCCAGCCTGCAGCCCGCTGGGCCCCTCCCGGTCATGGGGTGCCCACCTCTGCTCTTCCCCCACGCAGCTGAGAGCCGCCCCAGCCCCACTTCCTGCACGGAACACACGCTCAGGGAGCCGCATGCCCCTCGGGTGCTGGGGACCGGAGGCCGGGTGGGAACTGTCCGGCCCAGAGGGGCCCGCCGCCCGGCCCCCAGGACGCTGCTGCCCTTCCTCCCGCGTGAGGCCAGCGCCCCACCCCCCACCTTCCACACCCCCCCCCCCGAGACCTTCCATTGCAGACAAACTCAAGTTTACCCGCTTGTGAGCCCACACACACACTCAGGGCCCACCCAGCCCCGGCCTCCGGCCCCACCGGTAACCGGCTGCCTGGTCGGTGCACCACCATTCCTAGTCAGCAGACTCCGGGCCCCAGGGGCCCGGGCCCTCATCCCGCCTCACCTCGATTCCACAGTTATCTCTGCTTCCTCGCCTGCCGCCGCCCCCTGCGCACGGCCAGGAGCCCCGTCTCTGCCGTGGCTGGACTTCCAAGCACCCAGGTCCGCTGGCGTGGCGCGCCCCCCACCCGGCGTCCAAGCTCTTCACTGCCTGGCGCAGCCCCACCGGCCTGCGGCCCTCAGGGCTGCCGCGCCGCTCCACCCCCCCAGGACACCCTCGGGTCGAGGGGTGGCCCCCGCCCTTCAAAGCCTTTCCTGGCGGTCGCCTCTGGAGGGCCGCCAGGCCTTGGCACCGCCGGCACGTGCATCCTTCCCAGAGTCCCGGACTCCTGCGTCCCGTGCCAGCGTCCCCTGGACCTGGGCTCGCGGGAGGCGGGGCCTGGCCGCTCTCTGCTGGCCCAGAACCCAGCACGGCCGCCCCTGAGTTGGGGCTCCAGACGTTCTAGCTAAATATAGCTTCTCGGAGTCCAGCATGAAACTCCTGGGGAGTCTCGTTAATGTGGGCCAGCACAGAGCCGCTGCCGACACGGGAAACCGGAGCACGGCAGCCTCCGCCTCCGGCAGACACACGACAGGCCTGCCGGGGGGGCTTCGTGGGGGCTCCTCCCTGCCCCCGGGCCCGTCGGCCCTGCTGCGCACCCAGCTGTACCCGACGGGGCAGGAAGGTGGGGAGGAGAGGGGGACCCAGGCAAGGGGCCTCCCCAGAACCTCCTGCCACTGGACCGGCCTTTCCCCTCACCTCTGCCCCGCCCCATCGGAGATGCTGCCGGAGAACCGCGCCAGCCTGCAGCGCTCACGGTCCGTCCGTCCAAGGAGCCGCAGGGCACTCACGGTCCGTCCGTCCAAGGAGCCTCAGCACTCACGGTCTGTCCGTCCAAGGAGCCGCAGGGCGCGAGGGCAGGTAGAGGGATCGATGCCGCGGCTCCTGAGCGCTCCTGGGTTCCAGAGGAGCCGGCTGAACGCTCGGGGGACCTGGGCGGCAGGGAAGGAGCCCGGACGACGGCTGTGCCATCGCGCCCTGGCACCCAAAGCCTCCGACCCGGGGCTCCGTCCAGCCCCTCGCCCATGTGCCGGTGGCCCTGGCAGGGCCGGCGCAGACCCGCCGACGCTGAGAGGGGCATGAGGTCCTCTGTGCACCAGCCCCAGGCACGCACGCACGCGCACACTCACACACATGCACACTCCCGCACACACTCGAGTACACACACACTCGTGCACACACAGCCCCCACCAGCCCTTGTCCCTGGCTGCCCCCAACCCTCCAGGCCCACCCCACCACCCAGCCTGACCCCGCAGGCCCCCCGGGCTCCAGGGGGCCGAGGGAGAGGGCAGAGTCCCTTCGGGGAGCCCAGGAAATAACACGTGTGAGCCGGCAGCTGCGAGGCGCCCGCCTCCCCTCCCGCGTCTGTCTCGTCTTAGTTAACAGCAGAGTCCCCAGAGCAGGGTCCTTAACTTCTCCGGGCGCCGCGCGAGGCCCTGGGAGGCCCCGAGGACAGCCCGTCCGCCTCTGGGGCAGGAAAGGCTTCGGTACGACTCCAGGACCTTCGCCGGGCCGCCCTGCAGGGGGCGCAGCCGGGTGGGCCCAGCTGTGCTCTGGCAAGGGTGCAGGGAGCACAGGGGAATCCAATGAACCACTGGCCCTGGTTTCCAAAACGACCCAACTCTTCCGCCCTCGGGAGGAAGGCATGGACGGAAGACGAGACCGCACCTTCCAGAGGCAGAGGGGGGAGAGAGTCTGGGGCGCGGACCCCTGAGAGCTGGGGGCCGGGCGGGGCTTCCGCCTGCCCCTTCCCAACGCTCTGCCATCAGACACACCGGGTGTCTCCCTTCCAGCCCCACGGGCGCAGGTTTCAGGACAAGTCCTCTGGGGCCTGTCGCTGCTCCAGGGAGAACGACTGTGCGGCTCCTGCTCCGCTGCCGGGGGGCGGGCTCTCGTGCTGAGGGCTCGCTCCCGGCACGCCCAGGGGCGGCGGGCGGCGAGGCCAGCGGGAAGCGGTCTCCGAGGGTCCCGAGCACGGAGTGCACAGGTGTGCGGGGGCCTTGGGGAGCTGCCGGGAGCCCCCGAAGTGGGCGCGGGCACACCCTCCAGAGAGGACCTGCCCGGGGACGTGGCCCTGTCCCACCAGCTCTGCGGCCCACAGGTCACTTCTGCCACTTTCCCGCTTCGGCCCATCTGCTCCGTGTCATCCCCACCTCAGACAGAGACACAGACAGACAGAGACGGAGAGACAGACAGATGGGGCCTCGAGGAAAACAGCCAGGCCACCGCTCCTCTGCTTCCTTCCCGAAGGTGACGCCTGGTCCCCCCGGCCTGAGAAGGAGGTCACACGGTCCGGGCAGGGGCTCCCCACTCCCAGTTCCCCAAGCAGCCAGGAACAAGTTACCCCGGAACCTGGTTCCTGCGCCGTGGGGCACGAGCAGGGGGAGAACCATGGCTGACAGGCCCGAGAGCCTCTGTGCCGTACTCTCTGGGCCTCACTTTCCCCATCTGTGAAATGGGCCAATGCAATGTGCCATGGCTCCCTGAACGCCCAGCCTCAGCTGGTGAATGCAAGGACGAGGGCTTCACGTGGCCCTCGGCAAGGACACGTCCATGCCCGCGGATGGAGGAGCCTGGGGCGGGGGGGCCCAGCCTCGGCCTCCTGCGTCAGCCCAGCTACCAGGGAGAGACCGGGTCGAGCCGGAGGAGGGACTTGGCTCTAGACCCACAACCCTGAGGTGCGTTTTCCTCTCTGTCCAGCAAGCGTTCCCCACCCAGACCCACTCCCGCAAAGCTGCAGGACACCCTGTGGGGAGAGCTGTGGACCAAGCCACCCAGGAGCCTGTGCAGTGGGGGGCTCGGGCCCAGACCACAGGGAGAACGTCCCGAGGACAGGAGGAGTGGTGAGGCGTGGACGTGGGTGTGGGCGGTTCTCGGGGTCTTTCGGAACTGGCGGGTGTGGGCCGAGTGAGGTCATCCGTGCGAGGCCCTATCCTCCGACGCCCCTCGCCCAACCCCTGGTGGTCTCGGGAGACAGGGACAGTGGGGCCCCTGTCACACTGACCCCTCAACACAAGTACAGAACACACCCCTGCACAGATGCCAGGGGGAACAGCACACACTCACACACATGCACACACTCACACACGCACATGCATGCACACGCTGTCCCTGTTCCCCTTAGGGAACCAGCCAGCCTTCTCAAGGCTCAGGGCCGGAGGCTGCTGGCGGCTGTAATTCTATCCTGGGATCCCAATGACATCATCCCCACGGTCGGCGGTGGGGAAGGGGAGGAGGAGGCACACTGGGGTGGCTCTGGGAGAGCTCAGCGCCACAGCTCGCTAGCTGTGTGGCCTCAGGCAAGTCGCTAACCCCTGGGGGCCTCCTCCATCCTTGCGTGGTGCTTTTAGCCCGGGGCGCAGGGAGGGTCCTGGGAGCAAGGGGCTCCCCTCTGCCCACCATCAGCATCACGCTGGCCCCTCTCAGACACCCAGGGGGGCACGCTGTGCCTCTGTGCTTACCCATGACCCCTCCTGGAAGCCCCCCAATATTCTGACTGGTGGGCAGTGTAAACACCCCAAAAAGCAGGCAAATGCATCCCCAGAATTAAGAACTATGAGCCCCTGCCCCCTCCCCTGCAAAATACCACCTGAGAAGGCTACTTCACAGGCCCTTGCATGACACCCACTTGCCTCCACAGTTGATCATCATCATCATCGTCATCGTCATCATCACTTGGTCACCACCCGATTCAAGTCTCCTGCCCCCACTTACTCCCCCTTCACCCTCCTGTACCTGCACCACCCTATGCCTCCGGCATGTCCGTGCTGGTGTGTCACCTATGTCTGCACTGGTTTCGGCTCAGCCCCTCCACCTCCCCCCAGCCCCCCAGACCTCCCTCCCCTCTGACAGCTGTCAGTCTGGTCTCCGCAGGTGAGTCTGTCCTCACTGTTTTGTTCATCAGATTCCTCGCGTGAGTGAGGTCACGTGGTACTTGTCTTCCTCTGATGGGCTTACTTCACTTTGCACGGTGCTCTCCTGGTCTGTCCACGCTGCCGCAAAGGGTGAGAGTCCCTCTTTGATGGACAACCTCCCCCCCCGCCCCGTTCAGAGAGTCAGGGAAACCCAGGAGTCCCACCCTGACCAGGAGGGCAGCCCGGAACATCCGATCACACCGGCCCGCCACGGTCCCTGCTGAATATTTCATCCGGAGCAACACTCCATTAGTCTCCATCAATTATTCATCCCCTCGGGGCCAGAGCCAGGGACGCAGGCGGGAGCCGCGGCCGCGGGACCCGCACCCACGCTGCCTCCACCCCCTGACGGCGGCCGACAAGCTCCCGAACCCCCGCCACTTAGGGTCCGCCGGAGCGCCTCTCCGAAAGTGTCCGTGAGGGTCAGGTGGCTACCACCCCACTGAACAGATGGCCGGCAAGCCGCAGGCCAGGCTGCACGGGAATACATGAGCCTCGCCACGCCGCCTTCCAAGAACGGGAAACAGTCGTGCTCCTTTTATCCAGCCAACAAGCACATTTGGTGGCAGGTCGATGTCGCAGACTCGGCGGAACACACTGGGCCGCGTGTCCCTGGGAAAGACGCCCGCCGCCAGCCCAGCTCCAGCCCCACAGGAAGGTCACCTTTCCTCAGAGGAGGTGCCAGGAACCATGGGCTCTCAGAGCTGAGAAGGAAAGGCCCTCAAGGCTGAG